TCCTTAAGGGGCTGTGGGTGCTGCTTGGGGGGTGCGGGGGGGCTCGGCTAACGCTGCGGTGCACTCACCCCTCTGCACGATCCCTAACCGCTCGTCTCTGTCTCCCCGTCCAGGGCAGCCCCCAGACGGGACGCAGACCAAAAGGTGAGCAGGACCCTGCCAGGGCTGGGGGCTCTCCTGGCCTCTCCCCGCTGCTCCCCCGTCCCTGCTCTTGACCCCCTCTCCCCCAACGCTGCGGCCAGCAGGAGTGGCGACCAGGCTGAGCCGCCGGCGGGTCTCGTGCCGGGACCTGGGCCGGGTGGACTGCGATGGCTGGCTCCTGAAGAAGAAGGACCACGTGGGCTTCATGGCCCAGAAGTGGAAGCGGTGCTGGTTTGTGCTGAAGGGCCACACGCTCTACTGGTACCACCACCCCAACGTGAGTGGGGATGCTGGGTGTCCTCGATCCCTACCTGGGGCAGCCGAAGCGGGCAGTGAACGCGGCTGTTTCTCCCTCGCAGGATGAGAAGGCTGCAGGTCTCATCAACGTGGCCACCTACGACCTGGAGAGCACGAGGGAGCAGAAGAAGAAATAGTGAGTGGAGTCTGTCTCACCGTGGACCTCCCAGCTGGCTGTGGAGGGGAGGATGCTGCCCCAAGGGCGCGTGCCGATGAGCCCTGCTGGGTACCACCTGCATGTCCCTGCGGTGATGGAGGGGTCCCCACGGGGCTGGTGGGGTACCCACAGGGCTGGCGGGGTCCCTGCAGTGCTGGCGGGATCCCTGCAGTGCTGGCAGGACCGGCTGTCGTGCAACACGGGAGCCCATGCTCTGAGCAAGATGTGCATTACACTGCTGGTGTTATCTGGGCTGGGGCTGAGGACCGGAGCATCTCCGACGGCAGGGAAAAGCCCAAACCCCTGGGCTGGGTTGGGATGGGGTGGCTGCGGCACAGGGGAGGCTGGATGGGGGCTCGGGGCTGGCTCCGGTGCTGGGTAGCCCCAGCAGCAGAGGCTTGTCCTCCTCCAGCGTGTTCCAGCTCTCCCATCAGAGGTACAAGCCCTTCGTCTTCGCCACAGAAACACTGGCTGATTTGAGCATGTGAGTAACGCGCCGGCCGGTGGCGGCCTGTGCCGGTCCCACCACACCGGGCTGACCATGACCCTCTGTCTGTGTGTCCATCCTTTCTTTCCCTAGGTGGGTCAGTCACCTGATAACAGCCAAAACAAAGTACGCGCTGGCCCATCAGTCGGTCCCGGACAGGGAGGAAGGTAACGGGCCTTTCCCGGGGTGGGAGATGGGGTCGGTTTCCCCACAGGAGATGGGGACCCTGTGGGGAGCCGCAGGCTGGGGGTACTGGTGGGGCAGCCATGCCTGGCGCTGTGGCCCCTGCATGGGATCGCTGGGAGCTTTGCCCATGATTTGGGGGAAATGTGAGAAATGCTCCCTGAGAGGAGGGCTGGGGTGATGCTCAGCGCCAGCGCTGGGGGGGGCTAGGGGGGGCAGCCCGGGGCTTCCCGCTCCCTCTGCTCCCACCGTCCTCCCCCCGTGGCCTCCAGACTGCTACAGCGAGACAGAAGCCGAGGACCCCGATGACGAGTCCCCCAGGCACGGATGCGACTCGGTGAGTGGCCCTAGGGGACATCCTGGGGAGGGGACGGAGCATCCTTGTCTCACCTCCCGCCCCGTCTCTCCCCCAGCCAAAGAAGAGGCTGCAAAACGCTCCGGAGAAAGTCCAGCTCTTCCCAGCCGGCGGTGAGCCCAGCAGCGCAGCCAGCAGCCCCCAGGGCAGCCCCCGGCCCTGCTCGCCCATGGGTAGGTGCTGGGGGGTGACATCTGTCACCCTGTCACCCCCTGTGCACCCTTTAATCGAAGTTAGGGCCACCCTTTTGTGTGTCTGTGTGTGTGCAGGGGGGATAACTCGAGTTGGGATGTATTTGAGCGTCAGCCACATAGTGTCTCGGGATACTCTTGGGGCAGGGTTGCGTGCAGGTGCAGCCCTGCCAGGATTTGGGGCTGCCCCCATCCTACGGTGCCCCCTCTCCTCGCCCAGACCCCGCCGGGGAGGATCTCGAGTGCCTGATGCGGTGCCTGAAGCAGGGGGGGGTGTCCCTCATTGGGCAGCAGCGGTTCCTGACGCAGGAGCAGTGCCGCAAGTCCTTCGTCCGGCGCAACAAGAACCCCCACATCAACGAGAAGGTGCACGCGGTGCGGGCCCTGCAGAGCACGCTCAAGGTGGGAGCCCGCGGCCCCCTGACCCTCCCAAAGCCCCCTGCCCATGGGTGGCCGCCCCCAAAACGTGCCCCTCTTCTCGGCTGGCGAAGCTGGCGGAGCTGCAGGCCCTGGAGCAGCTGCTCAGCGACGCCGCGCTCACCTCGGAGAAGTTCACGCACTGGAAGGAAGAGCACCAGGAGCTGTACCAGGAGCTGCAGGAGTGGTGGGCACGGCGGCAGGGCCAGGACGGCGACGGGGGACTCGGGGCTGAGCACGGCCCCCCCGAAGAGGCGGCCAAACCCTGACACCCCGCCGGGACCTCTCTGGCACGAATTGTTACCGATAAAAATCACGGTGCTGCGGGAGCAAAGCGGGCGCTCTGCCTGTGCTGGGGTGGGTGCATGGTGGGATTGACAACATTTCGGAAGACTCAGCCCCCAGTGTGGACTTGCCACAGGAGAATTGGCTTCTGCTACATCCCCCCCCTCCCTGGGGCGAGACGTTGCAGTGACAGTCTTGCTTTTTTCAAGGACGTTTTGCCTCGGCTGCACGTTGGCAACAGGGGCCTTTTCCTGGAGGAACGTGCCCCCGCCGTGCACACCGGCGCGGTGTCGCCAGCCGTCCTGGCCAGGGTCTCTTCTGCTGTAAATAAAACCGTATCGACGAGGGCTGATTGTGCCGTGGTTTTTCTTGGCGCTGAAATGTCCCTGCAGTGACAGCCAGCCGTGACCCGTGCCATGTGCCGCCATCCTCAAGGGGTTGCGGCGTCCCCCTGTGCCCCGCTCTCCTCTCCTCTCCCTGTGGGCTGCGCCAGCCCAGCTCGGGGCCGATGGCACCCACCCATGGGGTGGGGGGACAGGGACGGGCTCCGATGGCACTGCGAGGCCAGGGAGGGCGATGAAGCGGGGAAGGTGTCCCAGGGAGGGCTGGGGGGCTCTGGGGGCTTTGTGCAGCTCACAAGGGGAGAGCGCGGGGCAGGAGGGGGAAGGAGATGTGGTCAGCCTGGAAATGTCGGAGGGGTCCTGCCCCTCCCTATGCCACCGGCCCCTTACAGACGTGCTACGGCTGGGTATGGGGACACTATTTATTTAGCAGCAGCTGCAGAGGCTAAAACCTGCATAAGGATTAAAGCACAATCAAGTAACAGGCAAGAACACTTGCTTTCAAGTGAAAAATTAAGAGTGAAAAGAGGTAAAGATGGGGAACGGACCCACCTCTTCCACTCAGTGATGGTCCAAGGGGCGTCCAGGGGTGCAGGATGGCCACGGCAGGAGGCTGAGGAGCCGCTGTCACCCAACAGTGAGTGGCATCGTCCCGTGATGCTCGCGGCAGGAACCAGTCCGTCCCAGCACCTCAATAATCCACCTCGTAAGGGGCAGCGGCTGGCCCCCCAACAAACCCCCTCTTCCTGCAGAAGCTGGTGGCCAGGCAGACGCCAGCCAGCACCTCTGCCGCTCCGCCGCTCCAGCCCAGGTAGAGACACGTCCCCAGGCGGAAGCGGTCTGCCAGGAGGGTCTGCGGGCTGGCCAAGTCCTGCAGCACCCGATGAGCCATGTAGGAAGCGGCACCCAGGTACATGGCGCCCGCCAGCATCAGCAGGAGCCCGGCAGTGGCCACCAGGTTGGGCCGTGGCGGGGGGGCCCCCCACCGTGCCCCCAGCATGGCCAGGGTGTACGCCAGGGCCCCCAGCAGCAGCGAGCCCACGGTGGCTGCTCTCAGCACCCGCATGGGCCAGAAATGGGTCGTGTCCTCCGGGAGGGCGCGACAGGCTGAGCCCAGCTGGGCGAGCGGCGCGCCCCAGGCCTCCACGCAGCACTCCAAGAGGCCATCGCTGAAGGAGAGGTCGCGGGGGTAGCCAGGCCGCTCGGACAGCTCCCGCCACCGCGGGGTGGCCGTGGCCGCCAGCAGCAGCACCCAGCCCATGGGGGCCAGCGCCAGTCCCCACACC